AATAATTCTATACGAAATATTGGGGTATAACATATTTCTTTATCTACAGATAACACCCCAATTAGTATATAAAGCGACACTGTCGCATTGCCATAACTATTTGCTACCAAAACAAATCATCATATCATCATATCATTATTTAAACATGTAGAGAATTATGTTGTGGTTTTTCTACCGAATCGTTCATAGTAATAGATTCTTTATTTATTTCCAAGGACATTCTTAATAAGTTGATATTGATCCAATGTATTAAAGTATATAATATACACATGGGAATATAATTAACATGACAAGTGTCGATTAAGATCTTGTCATTTCTTATATAAAGTGTTGGAAAAGTTTTAACGTCAGAAATAACACTTTCGTGTAAAGTAACATTTCTTTATCCTATATGAATAATGTCGTAATACGTATATATCACGTGTTACCTCATAATTCTGACAAAACAACTAAGTATTATTATATAAACTTAATAATAAGATTAATATAGATAATAGTTATATAGTTACAATACGTCGTTGGCCTATTGAACATTATTTCTAATACATATATTCCGGACAAAACAATACAACAAAATAGTTATGTGATGGGTTTTGGAAATCTTAAAAATCGAAATGATGTTGTATGCCAAACCCTCTAGTGTGTGTCACCTTTCAGCTTAGAATACAACTTAATTTATTATTTCTAATTAGCAACCTTTATATATGGATAGCTAATATACATCTTAGTGATCTACCTACTGTATTTATATACCTTCATTATTGACTCACTTTCTTGACATGTAAGAGTCATTCTTTCTCAACCCGGACCTTGTTAGATTATCACATTCATGTTCCAACCTGTCACATTCACATTCCAACTTATCACATGCTAGTTCCGACTAATCACAATTGTGTCCTAATTCATTACGACATCTTCTCCCTCTTCTTCCTCTCGAAGAGTTCCTACTAATTGCATAAATGTCGCCAGCATATTTAATCTTTTCGTTGTTGGTATTCTATTAAATTGTTTTTTCGATAACTCAACTGTTATCTTCGGGTCTACTCCTTTGAATAAGCAATAATACTTTTTATTCTTATCATCTTCTCCTACTAGCGCTATAACCTCTTCTATTCTCTCCTCCTTCTCTTCTTCAGTGTGAGGTGGTTCTCTGAAATACATATCTGATCTCTCTTTGTATTTCTTCAAGTAGGTTATATTAACTGTTCTACGTTTCCGACTAGTAGTTGGTATATCTATCTCGTAGGCATTCTCATTCACTTGCTTCACGACCTTATATGGTCCAATGTAAAGTGGTTGTATCTTCGGATAAGGTACTTCTTGATAATATGCATCCCTATGCACCAATACGTAATCACCTATTTCTAACCTTACCATTCTTCTTCCATGATTCGTTCTGATCTCCATATCTACCTGTGTATCTCGTAAACACTCTTTTGCTCTCTCGGTGAGTACTCTCATATGTTGAATCATCTCGGCCGCTCCCTCATGTCTTGCTGACAATCTATCTGCAGTAGCCAACAGCGGTTCTGTCGGTAGATATCCTAGATCCACTTCAAACGGTGATTTCTTATGAATACGGTTTGGAGTTGAGTTGTACACGTACTCTATCTGTGGTAAGTAATCATCCCAATACTCAGGTTCGAACAACACATATGTTGCTAATAACCGATTTAGAGTCTGGATCACTCTCTCAGACTGGCCGTCAGTCTGTGGATGATTCGTCGATGACATAGTTAACTTTATGCCTAATCTACGTGTAACTTCTTCATAAAATTTTGCAGTGAATCGTACATCTCTGTCACTAGTTATTGTTCGTGGAAAACCGTGATATGAAAATACATATCTGAATAACAGCTTAACTGTTTCTGCTGCGGATAATGGAAATGAGGACGCAATGAAGTGTGCTCTTTTCGAAAACTTATCTACAACAACCATGATCACCTGATTGCCTGATCTTGTCTTAGGCATTCCTAATGCAAAATCAATAGAAATATCTAACCATCTTCCGTCAGGAACTTCTGATGGTATTAGCAATCCTTGTTTGTGTCTCCTATGAGTTTTCATAAGTTGACATTGTATACATGATTCGATGTAACCCTTAATTGTCACATACATTTGAGACCAATAGTAGTCAGTGTTAATCTTATTAAAAGTAACATTAACTCCAAAATGACCTCCAAATAATCCGTGGTCATGGTAAACTCCCAATATCTGTGATTGTCTTCCTCTGGGTACGACTACTTTTCCGTTGTATCTTAATACATTTTCTTCATACTCGAAACGAGATCTGAACCTTCGTGATTCATTTATCTGTTTAACGTACTTCCTGTACAGTTTCTCATCTTTTTCTGCAAAAACTACCACATCTTTAACTCCAAATGTCTGAATTGCTGCTGCACTAAATGGGTCTCTCTTCCAATCATCCATCCATTTAGTCGGGTCGATCTCAATCACATGATCTAGAGCATGAATTACATTCTCAGATCGCTTGTTTCTTGCTTCTAGGTCGTTGCCTTCCATTCTTGATATTGCATCAGCCACTACATTTTTCTTTCCTTGCAAATATTGCAAATCGATATCAAAGTCCGCTAATAGATCTAGCCATCTCTGCACTCTCGTGGAAGGCTCACCTTCCTTACGTATAGACAACAGTCCTACGTGATCGGTTCGTAAGACAAAATGTCTTCCATGTAGCAAATACTTGAAATGTTTCAACGCTGATACAATACCTAGCAATTCTAACTCTCCTGCAGGATAATTTCTCTCTGGTCCTTTCAAAGAGTGTGAGAAGTATCCCACAACTCCTTTCAGTTTACCAGTCTCTGTCACTTCTTCTAAAACTGCACCGACACCATTCTTAGATGCGTCAGTCGTTAGTCTGTACAACCCATCCGGTCTGAATGCAACTAGCACCGGCTCTGACGAGAGAATATCTTTCAATTCCACCATTGCTTTATCCTGCAGGTCAGACCACTCTGTCTGTCCTGTTACATATTTCTGTATGGGTTCAGTTTTATCAGCGCAATGGGGAATAAATCTTCGATAGTAGTTAACTAATCCTAAAAATCGTTGTGCCTCCTTAATAGTTGTTGGTGTTGGGAAGTCTTTTACGGCTTGACACTTGTTTTGTATAGGCAGTATTCCACGTACTCCCACATTATATCCTAAATACTCTACTTCCTCGGCTGCAAAGGTGCATTTCTTCTTCTTTACTATCAATCCAACATTCTTTAATCTATTAAATACAATATCTAGATGGTTCCAATGGTCGTTCAAGGTGGTGGAAAATATTAGTATGTCATCCAAATAGACATTTACAAATTTTAAGTCTCTGAATAGATCTGCCATGTACCTGGAAAATGTACTTGGTGCATTGACTAAACCAAAGGGCATGACAGTATATTCGTACTTACCGTTGGGCGTGACAAATGCGGTCTTGTATCGATCTTGTTCCTTCATTGAGATTTGATGGTATCCACTATGTAAATCCAGAGTAGTAAATATTGTGGCTGAACCAATTTTAGCTAACGCATGATCGATGAGTGGTAAAGGAAATGGATCCTTAACCGTGGCTTTGTTTAATTTCCGATAGTCGACACATAGTCGGTATGACCCATCTTTTTTCTTAACCATTACAATAGGTGAACTAAATGGTGATTTAGAAGGTACTACAAATTTCTTGTCAATAAGATCTTTAATTATTGTATCGACTTCAGTTTGCAATTTAGGTGTTAGTCTGTATGGCTGTGATCTGGGAATCTGTGCACCCTCCTTGAGTTCTATATCGTGAAAGATATTGGTGTCACCTTGTAGTTCTCTCGGTGGTAAATCGTTTCTTACGGTGTCTTTATATTTGCTTTGTAACCATTCAGGAATCTGTTCAAAAGAGTGATTTTCTTGGGATCCAATTGTATAAATTACGAATATCTGATCATGTTGTTCTTCTAATTCATCGTGTATGTCTCTGACAATATTATATATCGTCTTAGTTGGAGATTTAATCGTTAATTCCATGAGCTCAGGAAATTTCTGCAAAACTGGGAATCCAATAAGGATATCCTGATTAATATGATCGGTGATATACATTGGGACTGAATAATGTTTCTGATTTAAATTTAGCAGTAACTGAACTGTTTCTGTAGTAGATTCAGTTTGCGTTGAGACAACTCCCTTGAAGGTAAATCGAGGGGCTTCTCTAATAGTTAGGTTCAATTGACGAGCAATATTTCGTCTGATAAAAGATGTTGGTGAACCTGTATCCAACAGAATGTTAAGTAAGCAATCATTTATTTTGTGTTTAATTTGTGCAATTGAGCCAATTTCTGGAAAATTTTTAGCAATAATGGGACATTGGTTAATATTGGCTACCTGTAAGCCTGTGGTCCTTATATGATGTTTAAGGAGAACTCGCTTTTGTCGATTTTTCTGGACAGTTTCTTAAGAAATGACCTATTTTCCCACATCCGTAACATTTTGGTGTTTTATGGCGGTTATTATATCTTTTTTGTTTTCCATATTTTGGATATTGTTTAAACTTAGTATTCTTGTGGTATGACTGTGGTTTATGAATAATAGGAGCGACAGTCATATTTGCAGATTGTTCGTTCTTGTCAGTTATGTTATTGACAGAATTAGTTGCCTTGAGGATTTCCTCGTGAGTTTCCTTAGCATTATAGTATCCCCTGGTGTCTGGTAAACGAACTCGTTCTGCTCTAATGCATGCTTCGCTAAGTGAAGATGGTTGTTCGTTTAATACAAAGCGTGCTGTTTCGCCTTTTAAACCTCGAAGATAGATACTAACTAAAAATTTGTCAATTGTCATAGATGGAGGAAACAGAGCTGCATATTCTGTGAATTTAAGATTATAGTCCTCCAATCCTAATGTATCTTCTTTCATGTTTAGTAGTTGATTGATAATCTTATGATGGTCAATTTTATGTGCATAATGTTCAACAAATTTTGTCTTGAAAGATTCATATGTGCAACCTGGTGAATTGCGGTAGCATTGTGCTGCCCATACCCCAGCAGTACCGTATAATCTGTCGCACAAGAATGCTATTTTTTCTGCATCAGTGTCAAGTTGTCTCGTGTCCATCCTCATTCCCATATTTGTGATGAAAACGTGTAACTTAGCTGCATCCTCTGTTCCAGTGAACTTTTCTTCTGGGGGAATTGAACCTCCAATTTTTGTCTCGGAAAGTCTTGATTTAGTTGGTGTTGCCCTTGGCATGATTTTTTGATATTTTGATAACTATTCTCTGTGATAACCTAGTACCGTTTAGCGCTACCAGATGTTGTATGCCAAACCCTCTAGTGTGTGTCACCTTTCAGCTTAGAATACAACTTAATTTATTATTTCTAATTAGCAACCTTTATATATGGATAGCTAATATACATCTTAGTGATCTACCTACTGTATTTATATACCTTCATTATTGACTCACTTTCTTGACATGTAAGAGTCATTCTTTCTCAACCCGGACCTTGTTAGATTATCACATTCATGTTCCAACCTGTCACATTCACATTCCAACTTATCACATGCTAGTTCCGACTAATCACAATTGTGTCCTAATTCATTACGACATCAGCAGTGTCTAAAAGCGTTAGTCATTACACGTATTATTTCGAGATTACTTAGAGGTTACTTTGTACGAACCTTGAGAGTAAATACATATGTATCTGTCAGAATGGTAAAAGCTGTAAGCTTCAATGTAAGTAGATATACGTCAATTAGGGATCTTGACCTATTACTAAGGTCAGTGAGTGGTAACTCGCTCATCCTCCTGTAACAGAGTAGTCTATATAACATAAATAGTTTTATATATCGGAACTGAAAATTTGTTCCTTTTATATATTTGAGAAATCGATACATTCACCTTGTACGAAAAACAGCAATAGTGACATAAACTTTATCCTCGAGTATCCAGGTTAAAGTCACAACAGTGTCTGTCAGAATTATGAGGTAACACGTGATATAAACGTATTACGACATTATTCATATAGGATAAAGAAATGTTACTTTACACGAAAGTGTTATTACTGACGTTGAAAACTTTTCCAACACTGTATATAAGAAATGATGAGATCTTAATTGACACTTATCATATGTACTATATTCCCAGGTGTATAGTTTATACTTTAATACACCGGATCAATATCAACTTATTAAGAATGTCCTTGGAAATAAATAAAGAATCTATTACTATGAACGATTCGGTAGAAAATCTACAACATAATTCTCTGCAGTGTCATTACAATAACGTTGTTCCATACTATTAATATTGATATTTAAAGAGATCTTTGTACATTATTGTATATTATTGTGTATTATTTAGTATCGTATATGGTACATATAAAGATATAGAACTACATGATTAATTAACAGTATATTTACTTTAACTTACACATCTCTACATTAAGATTCTACTGAATAGACGCCTAGCAGCCATCATTATAACTTATACCAAATTAAACATACAACTAAATAATATTTAAAACTACTAATTACAGGCCAAATAATACACATCTCCATATCCACATGCATGGTAAATCATTTCAATAGCCTCGTCACTTTATACTAAAGCGGAATCAATACAATTTGTATTGATTTCGGATTATAACATAATACGAAGAAGTGGAGTAATCAATAAACAAAGGATTTGCGACACTGTCACAAACAAGAACGTATATAAAGAACTAGATAATTATCATAGCTACATAAACAAGTTCCCAAACTAAAGGGGACAGACTTAATTATTATTACAATACACAACTTAATATATTAATCAGTATATCTATCTTTAGCTTATACTAATATATTAGAATATAGTACACATATTACTTCTTTAACTAATATAATACGTATACAGTATTTAATAATAACCAATCAAATAAATACAAACCAGACCTATCAGATAATTGTTATAATCTGATAGGTCCGGGTTATAAGATGGTTAATAGCTAAATATCGTAACGGATATGAAGATAATTAGTGTCACATTAAGGGAGATGAAACGTAAAGGAAATGATACAAAGAGACAAGGCTTATATTATAAATAATTATATTAGTTATACTCTATATAAAGTTGTCATTTAGTTATAAGAATAGCAGTTGTACGTTGTGAACAAGTGACGCACATTGTAAGCGTTAACGTTACAACAGTGTGGAAGCCTCACATGATCAACTCTTCAGATGTTGCAGAAAGACACCTACAGTATTGGCAACCGGATGGCCGCCAATCTCCTCGCTGCATGCACCTCCTAGTAAATCTGTTAACTAGGCAACTAGCCCCGTTGATTTCGCATTCGTTAATAATACATGACATCTTAGGTTTCGATGTCATATAGCAACTTAGGAACATGCCGTTCTTAAGCAGTAGATTCGACACGAAATCACTGTCGGTATAGCGTCTCCTAGATAGAGCGCTGCTGGTAGACTTCTGATTGACTGACCCTACTCCTTTTCCACTCGTTGGCATAATATGACAGACTCCAGCAGTGTTGAGCGCCAAGAAGGCTCTCTCTACCAAGTCATAATTATCTTCCGTTTCGGTCCTATGAAAAGCAGCCACTGGACCGGAGTAATCAACGTATATGTCAGTTAATCTGTCTGTATCAGAATAATAAAATTGTTCATCCTCTTTTGTATAATTAACACCATTAACTGTACGAGTTATTATCATACCGTCAGGAATAACGATCATTTTATCATCGAAGTCAATAAAATCGGTTGTAGCAACTACAATAGATAACATAGCTAGAAACAACGACCAGGTGTTCTGAATTCTCATGCTTTTTCTTTGTGTAAGTTTCTATTATAAATCAATGTCTACTAGGATCGCACTACCAGATACTATATAGTTGATAAGTATATAAGTCCTGATTTGAACCTTACTTATTCCAGTATTCTTAAGCTTACCTCTATATATGTCTAAACGTCACATTCTAATTCATATTACCTTAAGCCTTAATTTAGGTAGCCTTTTTATATGTTTCTGTTTTCATGAGTTTGTAACCACTTTTAATATTTACTGGCATACATCTTTTATGTTTCATGTCAATTATGTTGTCTTATTAATTAGTTGTAACCATGTTGTTAGTTGGAATTAGCAATAGCAGGGGATTGGCTCTACAGAAATTCACACATAAAAAATTCCATCAGTGAGGAAAAACCCTCCCGGTCCGGAGGCTATCTTTAGAGGCAAATTTCCAGAAGATTACTTTTAGTTCACATGATTTTCATGAGATCGATAAAGTCCTAGTTAAAATGATATACGACAGTCCAGTAAAATAGTTAAACTAACCAAAATTATAAAGTTAAATCTAAATTTATGCTGTCATCCAAAACAATAATCCTAAGCCTTACGAAGACCTAATTTTGTACCCTTAGCAGTAGTCTCATCCAAATGTTACCCGACATCGGATTGAAATTTTTTACCTTAACGATTAGGAAAACTCAATTTTTATCCAAATTAATCCAATTTCCGGGCATTTGATCCCCTTCCAGGCCTAATTTGTTGGTATAGTCGGCAGAAGCCAGCACTGCCTAGCGCCAAGAAGGCTCTCACTACCAAGTCATGATTATCTTCCGTTTCGGTACTATGAAAAGCAGCGACTGGGACGGAGTAATCAACGTATATGTCAGTTAATCTGTCTGTATCAGAATAATAAAATTGTTCATCCTCTTTTGTATAATTAACACCATTAACTGTACGAGTTATTATCATACCGTCAGGAATAACGATCATTTTATCATCGAAGTCAATAAAATCGGTTGTAGCAACTACAATAGATAACATAGCTAGAAACAACAAGCAGGTGTTCTGAATTCTCATGCTTTTTCTTTGTGTAAGTTTCTATTATTCATCAATGTGCACTAGTCTCACACTGCCAGATATTATATAGTTAACAAGTATATAATCCCTGATGTGATCCTTACTTATTCCAGTATTCTTAAGCTTATCTCTTTATATATATATATATATATATTTATGAAAACCTTAACTTACCTTGCCCTTTTATATAAGTTTTTTTTTTCAGAAGTTTGCGATAGGCATGGTTGGAGAGCAAAGTCAAAAACTTGCTCTCATAGTTAATACCCAAATGAGGAAATTTTTCGTTCACGGCCTGGAGCAAATCAACTTTAGGATTGTCCTACCCTTTTTTTCCTTAACCGGTTGCTTTTTTTGGTTCCTGTGACCTGCCTGAAAACCGAAAATTGCATGTGACTATCACATGACTTCTAAACCTTAATTATTATTTTGTACAAATGTGGAGCCAACACTGACACACCTCTCTGTCATCCAGGTAATGTATTTCTCACCGAATGTAATTGTATTGTTAGCAGTTGGCAGTATTTCTTTGACCTTTAGTATTATATCTTCATGTGTAGTTGATAGCAAGATATGTAATCGAAACTAGTTTTGGCAACTACTACTCGAATAATGCCATTTTTGGTGCTACATTTGTAATGTAATTGCATCGCAGCAACCTTGCCAATTAGGTATGACCATGCCTAATCTAAAACAAGGAGATTTAATTTATTGCAATGTGACACGATTTTGGCTTTGTAATATTTATATTTTCTCTTTCATTTAGAGCTCAAATCGCTATTTAGTTAGGTTCTAAAATAAATCTAGTCTTTTGTTGATGAAAAGAATGAAAGATTTAATATTGTGTTTTTATCAACTAATAAAAATAAGATTCTTCATAATACGCAAGAAAGAGAAGAACTTACAATAAAATAAGTTAAAGTATGCAATTTAGTCAGTTGAATAGAGGATAACCAGTGACAAGAATCAATGGCTGACCAATAACTAACTAACGAAACGATTGAGATTACAAGTGAAGATGAAATAATCACTGAAATCTTACCAGCCAACCCAAGAAAGAGACTCAGAATTGGTTGATCTGAAAATCAACCTGTTAGTTAATAATAATAATTTATTATTAAGTATTATATGTGACCAACAACAATACCGATAACAGATCTGATAACAGAATTGTTGATAATTTCGTAATTTCTCAGGAAACTGTGAATATTCCAGAATTTACATTTACACAAATCCAACATATTGATACTGATTGTTTGAGAATGTTCACAGCAACAAAAAAAATACAAGCAGGTATCCATTATTTTTCACTGAGGAACATGATGATAGGTGGCTATTTGATTATTACTAGCCCGGATGACATAAAAAAATTATCTAAAATTGATATATATAGATGGGGCCAGATTTCCAGATTTAATATTTAAAATAATTAACTATTTTGTAGAGGATATGCTATTGTATAATGACGACAAGCGAATGTATTCTAGCTTCCCAGTACCATATATTTAATATAAGATATTATCATGAACTTAAAATATCCAATTCTATTATCTTCTTGATGACAAGGAAAACCTTAAATTTGCAACTTACAGAATGGTTAAAATATATGCTTTCTTAAAGTTCTATTTTGACAAATTATCAAGAGCGTCAGGATTTAAAAAGAAAGGTCGGGTATACAACTTATAAATGTAATGATTCATAAATATATCACTGTTTTATTTACAAGCACAAATAGCACAGAATAAGTAATATATAAACTCAATTGCCAACAAAAAAAGAAGCTCGATTGGAATTACAACGAATGCCAAAATTCTATCATTGTATATATCTTGTCATTTGTTAGTGTCATTTGACTTACAATTTTAAACTAACATCCCAATTGTAGAAACATACCATATCATATTTAATAGCGAGTATGAGATGTCATGTAATTATATTTCCAGCATCATATTATGTCAGAAATATTATTCTGTTTCAGAACACAAGAGTCACTTTAGGATTACGAGTAATTTGAAGAGTAGAATAAAACTACGTTATTCGTCAGGTATAATAATTAAAATTAGAAGGTATCTTCATTTTTCGGGGTCCATCTATCAATTGATTTCATATATGAATTCAGATTATTGTACATTAGTAACTTATCCGTATTAGTTTTTATTAAGTATTGCATGTGACTATTATAATTGTTGTATTTTTCAACAAGAATTCATATCAAAAATGAAACACACACCATTTTTTACAGAAATAAAGAACTATTATTATCTTGCTTGATTTTATTGTTTACTTTTCAGATCCGTTTTCTTTCCATACTTACTGTAAGCAATAACACAAACCGTAAGGAAAAGTTGTCATTAAATCGAACGATAATTTTAATCTTAAAGTTGCAACCGCGAAATTAATTAAGCAAAGAAATATTAAGATATGGAAGGTAAGAATAAAAAAAGTATCTTTTCTCCTATAATTCTTTTAGTGTGGATTGAAATTTTAAGCTTCAGTAATATATTCTACTCATACTATCCTCATTAATTATAAACCAATGAACGTTAGAACGCCCTCTATCCTCTGGATTTTTATGTGTATGAATGTTTTCTTTCAAAATTCAAGATATAGCTAATACAAAGTAATTGAACTTCCAATACTTTAGTTACTTCATTAATTGAGTGGGCAGAACCAAAATTATAGGAATTATGTAAATTTTGTTTCTAAAAATTTTTCTTGAAGTAGAGAAAGTAAGAGGGATCTTCGTATCTGTACCTCCCTCCAAACTTACAAACGTCATTTCTTTGTTCTGCAATATCTTTTAATTTCGCTCATATTCTAACACAATACATTTACTTAGTGTCAAGCTTTCATGGAACATAATAAATGGAAATAAACCTAATAACACCTATTAACACCTTCCAAATAATTTAGTAGTATTATAATTAGTGTTATTAATATTTATGATTTATTTTCATATCTAATAACTAACTGCTCATGTAATAAAATGCATCACCAAGATATATCCCATCTAGACGGTTAACCACAAAAAGAAACAAAATTAATCAGGACAAAAAAGAAAAATCAACGGCAAATAAGTTTCCCTAAACAGTGTTCGTAGAGTACAAAGTCAACAATGGAAAAAATATGCTGCTACACCTGTTGCCCGGTCTTTGTCCTACCATGTCCAAAACAAATAAAAAAAGAAAAAAGCAAAGTAGGACATAAGTCTTAAAACGACGTAGAGCTGAAAAACACCAAGAGTAAATCCATTGCACTTGCGTACTTCCAAAGGCTGTTCCGTGGTATAACTGCAGGAGCTACAAAAACTATATATCTGGCTATAACACCAAACGGAAATAAATACTAAAAGTAGACACTTTGTACAAATATTTTCCGAACACAAAACTTTTCTTTTTGTTTGCTTTTTTTTTTGTACTTTTTGTGTTTTCCCTTTTTCTTTTTTATGGACCAAGAAAAATTTAAAACACAAAAAGAAATTAATACAACATGTACATGTACATATTTATGCGTACAACCTTTTCTCTAAACAAACAAGTACATGTGTACTTTATACAATACGACAAAAGGCAATAAATCAGGATATATTTTTAATAATAATAAAAAAAATGTATCCTAATTTTCAGCACACTAAAATTTTAGACAACATCTCTTCAAACTATAGTTACTGGAAATATCATTTTCATGTTTTTTTTGGCATCTTATTTTAATTGGGTCCAGTATAGCTATTTGCGTAAACAATTTTACTAATCATGGACAACTGATGAGAAGAACTCATCTAATATACTTACACTTACTTCTCTGCATGATTTTTCAACTACAATGATTTTTCAATCTTCTTACAATTAAACAGGATTGCGAACTCACCCATCAATTCTTCTAAATCTTGTTATGTGCTCTTCCTTTTCTACAATTGGAGGTTTCCTGAATGTTTTTTAGTTGTTACTTCTTATTTTATTATTAAAATGAAGTAAAGGAAGTTGTGAACAACTATTTTTTTTTAACTAATGTAGTACAGGGTTATATTCCAACGATTTTATATATTTCAATGTTGAAATTTTTCATTACTTTTTACTATTACTGCTGTAGTACATTTTTATTTTTGGTAATTAAACGAGATTGGATTAAATAATTTTACTTAAAAATGTTTAATATTAAGTTTTAAATATAATATAATATATAAACATGCATAAATATATATATAAATATATATATATATATATTGTTGCAGGTGTAGTCAGGGTCCCCCCACCCCCAAACCTTTAGAAATATTGTTGATTTTATCAGATTTGTATTAAACCTTCATTCGACTTTCATCGCAACAGATTCTGCTTAGAAACAATTCTTAACTCCTCTATCGTTTTGTCCATTAGTACCTGTATCTGCATATACTCTTTGTATTTTACCACTTTTCCAAAAAAAATAAAAAAAAAGAAACATTTCTTTTGGTAAAGTGTTTAGCGTGGTTTTATCATTTTTAATCTGTTTTTTCTTCTTTTAGAATTGGACAATAATTTGAAATTTTAGTATAATTACTCGATTCGAATTTAATAAAGGTACCACAATCTTCATAATTAAAATTTGAAAAATATAACAAGAGATATAACTTAAGAGGCTTAATATTAATACATCTTTAATATATATACGCATTGTGTTTTTCCTATCTGTATTAGTATAAGATAATTAAGTTATATTAAATACAAACATCAAAAAAAGGTAAATAAAATTTCAATGGAAAATTTAACTTCTGATGTTGCTAAAATATCTTTAGCCTTACCAAATGGTGGTAATAACAATAATTGAAAAAAGGGAAAAGGCCCACAAAAACTTTCCAAAGCTTTCCCAAATTTGGATCCAGCTTTTCCCTTCTTGGTTATTCCCCAACCGCTGCGGGTTCAATTCAATCCTTTTCTATTAACCTCAGAAATTTCTTTCCCAGCACACACAATTTAAGAGGTTTTTCCCAAACAAAAAATACCGAATTTCAACGTTATAAGGAGACT